GGTCTAACGTAGGTAAAACTTTGATTACTAAATATAGCGGTAATATCGAATTTCGTACAAATTCTGTTTCGTTGCGGTATGTATGAGAGCGAAGCTTGCAACAGAGACACAGATGATGGCGCTTGTATTATACGCGCCTTGGGCAGTAACCATTCCTCGTACAGTTCCTGACGTGGACCCAGAGGCAGGTCGGGGTTGGTGCGACAATTCGCTATGATCCACTCCTGTTCTCGTTCGGAAGGATACCTGAAAGTAATAAATAGTTGACGGAAGTGGTCACTGTATTTTACTTTTAACATACTCGTATTTACATTCACACCTGTAATCTCCGAGGGTGTAGGTAGATTTTTAAGAGTAGCGGACTATGTTTGGCTAAAAATATGGGTATAAATTGTGAAAGAAGTAATAAGTGGCTAGCCAGTCGCCTTTAATGACTTCCTTTTACCCGATATAATATAATAAAATAATTATTTATCATTATCCTACGGTGAAAAATTAATTAAAATTAGATCACCGGATCACTTTTGCGTGTAAACAAAGAGACGAAAATATTTTGGACTATTTAAAAAAAAATCTTTAATTATCGCCTTAAACATTGCCAATGTTCTTGATTTAAAATTTTTTGCTCGATTGGAATTACCCTTTTCTCTAATTTTAGATATAAGTCCGTAATGTGCAGTTCAGTGTGATGGCGGTGCTAGTATTTTGTTGGTATAGTAATTGGCGACTATGTTTTTTTTTTTTTAAATCTTTATTTAAGAGCTTAATCAAAATGCGATTATGTCGCTCTATTTGACATCATTTAGAACTAAATAACATTCCATTTAGCAAGCAAACAAAAATGAAAATGAAAACAAGTACTATCTAATTGACTGATCTGAGGAAAATATTATGTTATATAATTTAGTCAATAATTTTGTTTCATCGGAATGAGGATTGGATAAAATAATGTTACAATCAGCAAATTCCTTTAAAATATTTTTACACTTAACTATTCGAAAGGCAGCATTGCGGGCACACTCCATCAAGACATGCATTAAGTCCTCGGGGACACCGCATTGTTCACAGTTCGGTGACGGGACTTTATTCATAAGAAAAGCAAAATTCTTGCATGGAATGTGTCCAGAACGTAGCCTCATAATCACTACTGCGTCCTTTCTTGGTGATATGTGACTATCAATCCATGGAATTCTGAGAGGATGTGGCTGAACCGTTTTATACCAGATACCTTTTTCTTTAGAGCGTAAATCAAAATATTCCTTCCATAATTTGTAGCATTGTGTTTTGATTAACCAAATGCAATCTGTATAATAAGGGAGTACATTATATTCAATTCCCTCAGTAATAGCTTGTCTAGCCAAGACGTCTACCCTTTCATTATATTCAACGCCACAGTGTGACGGAATCCACTGTAACTTTATAGAGTTAGAATTGGAGGTCAGATTTAAAATACAGTCCAGGACTGAGTAGGCTATCGGAGTGCCTCGTAGGCCCGAGGTGCACCGAGCCAAGTGTTGGAGTGCGCTTTTAGAGTCTGTGAATATCACTATATGGTCTTGTGGTAGCGATATTGCGTAAGACAAAGCCTCACAGATTGCTATTAGTTCCGCCTCCATAATGCATATTATGTCACTGTCTATTTTTAATTGTAGACTAATGTTGCATTGTGGGTCATAAAATGCTGAACCAATTCCACTCCCATCCTTAGATCCATCAGTATAGAGTTTATAATAATTTTTATATCGCTGGTTGATAAAATCCAAGCATAATAACTTTAAATTAAAATTACTGTAACTTCGCTTTTTTTAACAAGATTCGGGATATTATAGTGAATTACATCATCCAAATCTATGTTGGTAACCCAGGTATTCATAGAAAACATTTCTAGTTGTCGGCTGGCATGAATATAAACATTAGAAAGACAATCAAACATAGTTAACAATAGTGGCTTCTTTTTATTCCGCCAATATCTGTTGTCTTTATATGTCGATAATTCTCGTAATATTTTAATTGTAATATTGTTTTCTCGTGACCTAGCTTTTAATATAAATTTACCTCCTAAATACGTTCTCCGCACGTGCAATGGAGGGAGACCAAGTTCGCTCTCCATTGCATGTATAGGAGTTGTTTTAATAAAACCTCCCATTACTCTCAGCGCTTGATTTTGCACTATATCTAGCTTACTTACATAATTTTGACAGCTGTTGTCGTATAAAAAACTTCCGTAATCAAATCTACTCCTTATAATAGCAATATATAACCTTTTCGAATGTTTAGGGTGTATTCCCCACCCTGTCCCAGCAAGAACTTTAAAAATATTTAAGTATCTGGAAGTTTTATCAACTAACTCAGTAATGTGTTTATTCCATTTTAAAGAGCGGTCCAACCACATCCCCAAATACTTTACAGCACTGACTACCTCTATTACATTATTATTAATATTTAGCGATATCTGTTGTCTATTGATGCCTTTCTTGAAGACACATACCTTTGCTTTGGTTGTTGAAATGTCCAAACCCAGATCAATAAGCATGTTGCTTATTTTATTCAATGCTATTTGCAGTTCTTCGGATGCGTCGTTGACATTTTTACTAGTTAAATATAAAGCGTAATCATCAGCATATTGAGAAATCATAACATTAGAAACTTGTTTACATATATGGAGAGTAGCAATATTAAATAATATAGGTGAGAGAGAGTCTCATTGGGCCAGGCCACGACCTGTAGATCTACAGATTATTTTTTTTTATCAACTTTTATGCTTAGTTGTCTTTCCTTTAAAAATGTCCATAAGTATTTACAGATTTTTGCACCAGCGCCTAGGCGATCTAAATTTAAAAGTAAGGCTCTAATATCCACGTTGTTATAAGCGTTTTCAATGTCAATGAAGCATCCTACCGTTAATTGATCTTTCGAAAATCCCAGCTGAATTCTAGAAACTAAATTGCTAAGGTTATCAATACAAGACTTGGTTTTTCTAAACCCGGTGGTCTCTTCGTGAAAGAGGTTTCTTTTCTCGACTAACCACTCTAATCTATTCTTCAACATAGAGTGTAATATTTTACATAAACAAGACATGAGAGAGATTGGTCTTAAAGCTGCTATTGAAGATGGATCCCGACCTGGTTTAGATATAGGTATAACAAGAATTTCACGCCATTGCGAGGGGACAAAACTGAGAGTGTAAAATAAATTGTAAAGATTAAGTAAAATATTTGTAGCGTTATCCGGTAAATATTTAATCATTGAGTACGAAATATTGTCGACTCCGGGTGAAGTATCTTTTGCTTTAACGCATCTTTTTAGTTCACATAATGAAAATGGAGCCTCAAGTTTTATATTACAAGATGAAAAAATGGGGTACTTTGGACAAACAAAATCTGGTGTTAAATTATGTAAAAGCTTATTAGCCGTTACTTCGTCAATAAAAGTATTAGATGATCTATAACCCTTTAACCACTTCATCTTGCGCCACATTTCTGTTACACAAGTAGCCTCATCAATTGAAGAACAAAAATTAGAGAATGATTTGTTTTTAGTCTGTCGTAGTAATAATTGTGAAATTCTGATTTTATCTTTCAATTTGTTCAAATTACCAGGGGTGGGATTCTTTCGAAACAACGTAAGTGCTAGCCGTCTTTCTGCAACAGCTTTAGATAGCTTAGGATTCCAATAGTGTTTGGGAGTAAAATGTTGAGAGGGGTCTTGGCTAAATCTATACAAAGGAATGTGAACATAAGCGGCTTCGTTAATTATGCTAAGGAACGAATCGTAACTTGTTTGCGGGTCATCAACAAGCAGGTTATAATTTGAGAGATTATCTTTAATATACTTACGATAACCATCCCAGTTAGCATTTTTAAAGTTTCTCCTCTGAATAAATGGCGAGTTATTGTTACTATAAGAAATATAAATCTTAATAATTAAGTGGTCACTACCTAATGTCTCATTAGTTACCTTCCAGTTCAAGTGCAAGGCTATGTCCGAAGATGCAATAGAAATATCAGAGAGGATTCCTGCAATTTCCCGTTGACAAATTTAACACGCGTAGCTCGACTATCATTCAATGAAACAAAATTATTTTCTAACAAAGAATCAAAAATATTGCTACCTCTCAAATCAGTCTTACAAGACCAGCTGGAATGGTGGCCGTTAAAGTCACCAAGTACAAGTGTTTTACTCATCTTAAACGAAAATATTTCATCCCAGTCACTTTGAGAAGTTCGTATAGTTGGTGGGCAGTAGATAGAAAATATGTAATCAATATATTTACAGTTACAGTTACAAGTACAAAACTTTTACACAAATTACTTCAATACTAGGATTTGAAAAATGAACAGGGATTAGTTGCGCCTTAACGGATTTGTGGGCTATAATAGCGACACCTCCATACGAGTCTTCTCGATCGTGACGGAAAACATTATAACCACTTATTCTAAAAGTAACCTCACTATTTAACCATGTTTCGCATATAGCAGCTATATGAATTTTTTCACTATTTAATAACTGCTCAAATTCTACATATTTAGGCTTAACACTTTGTGAATTCCACTGGAGAAGGTTTATTTGGGAGCTTATACCCATAACCTACCGAGTATATTTTTAAAAGAAAGGTCCCAGATGTATTCCCCTACCATCGATACCAACCATTCAATGCATAGTGACACTCCTTGAATTATTCTACTCTTTAAATCTTCTTGTGAGTTAGAAATTAATGCATATAATTTTGCAAGCAATTGCTTCAAATTTAAACTAGATCTGCATTTCTCTTTTCTCTCATTTCTCAACCGAATTTCATTTTCCGACTCATCGACTAAATTACTATTCATTGTTTCTGATTCCGAAGATACATCCCTGTTATACACTTCATTTTGACTTTGTTTCTTTTTTCTTATTCTTTTTCTTCTTGGGTCTCTGTTCTAATGATTGAGAAACATTCGTTGAGCCCGGTTGCTTAGGTTGTGATTGTCGAATGATACTATCACAACGCGGCGCTCGGGTCACGCTTGCATAGGAAATAAGGAAATAACGTTTATGTCTTGTGACTGATTAGGTACGTGTTCAGGTACAGACTCGGGAAACACACTAAGGCTTGCCGGTGAAGTTAAATTAAATCGTTCTGAGCGCAGTGTAGGGGCGGGTTCTGGCGGAACATATACTTGCAACGCCTTCCTATAAGAGCAGTTAAACTCTGCTATCAATTCACGAATTCGTTTCTCTTTTTTAAACGCAGGACACGATCTATCCAGGCATAAATGGTTTCCTGTACAATTCACACATTTATATGAGGTAGTCTCACAGTTAGCGTGACCCTTGCCACACTTAGGGCACACAACCTTTTTGCTTGGACAAACACGCAAGGAGTGCCCAAATCGCCAACACCTGGAACACTGGGTAACTGGGAACACGTATGGGTCGACATTTATCTTCATGCCGTAGATGTAGACACACGTTGGTAGTGAGGGACCCTTGAACCCCAGACGTATTGACTCACTTTCTTCCCAGCCGTTACCGTCCTTATTCCTGCGTTTTAAACGTTTTACCGCTATCAGTTCACAATTGCTTGAAATAACTTCTAACATGTCTTTTTCACTCAAGTCCAATTCTACATTCTTAATAACGCCGTAAGATATAACAACTTCCAGTGGTTTTTGGCATCTCCAACCTAAATCTTGCAAAGGTTTGCAATTGATCAACTCCTCAGCACTTCCTGCATTTTCAAACTGTATGAACACTTTGTAGGGGTTTATATATTTTACCCGGCTAACACTACTAATGTTATTTGACCTTAATAATTTAGCAAGCGCGAATTGCTTCGGTAGCTTTTCGGAATTATTAATGTACACATCTACCTTCTGTCCCACTCTCTTTCCATTTCTTCCTACCGCTATCCACTCTTCTTCCTCATCCTCCTCCCGCGGTCTCTTATTACGACTAACACTAGAACTAGAGTCCTCAAGCATTTCTTCCTCTCGTTGTGTAGTATTCTTCTCCACTAAACAAATCTCCGACTCCTCAACATTACTTATCCCGGGTAGAATATTATTAATCACATTATCTTCTTGAATTATATCTTCCTCCATGTTAAATAAGGTACACTATCGTATGCATCTATTCACCATTGCACGATGTGTGTAGTTATGTACACAATAGCGCGAAATATTTCCGGAGATAAGACTGCTCAGCGAGAAAAAACAACGCGACTATAGCGGACAAGTGCCCACAGCGAACTGGCGACTATGTTAAATAGCAGATAAGTGTAATGGCTTGTTATAGATAACATTATTGCCATCCTATAAGGCAAATGTAAAACATCAAACCACTCCGCGATTTGGCGATTACGGTCACTTCATTCATAGAACAGGAGAGACCCCCTTAATCAACTTTACATAAAATCTAACATTTAAATAACAACAAATACAAAACATAATTCAGTGCGGTGTTAGAAGAGGGTCGAGGGCTCAATATAGTTCGTGTGAATATTGATCTCGGCCGTTTTGCGAAAACTTAGCCCGACACACTTTTTGCATTTAGATTAAAATCTCTTACAGGGTTTCTCTCCATTTTGAACGGCTTTTGCGGGGTAGAGAAATGTGGTTTTATTTAAATATTTTTCTGTATGTATACGTACAAATACATGCATTTCATCACTGTCATTACAGCTCTTAAAGAGCTTCGTGCGGAACATAGGCATCTCGCAAGCAATGCTACAAGGCACAATCCTGAGTTATGATATAATATGATTTGAAGCATATAGCTCTAAAGAACCGATAACCTATGGGTGAGTTCTTGAGTGGCGGCCTTGTAGCGATAAGCAAAATGTAAAGCGGCATCCCACTAGATGGAGTGACAACCTGATAAGACATGCAGGAAGGCGATGGATAGAGGAGGCTTAGAACCGTGTTCAAGGATTGGGGGAGGTCTACGTTCAGCAGTGAACCTGTGATGTGCTGTAATGATGATGAAACAAAAAAATTCAAAACTTGACTAATAAATACCTGACTATAGCGGAGAGGTCGTCGGCCTTATATACCACTTTGGTGTCGGGATCGAATAAACCATCTCCTGTGTCGTAAAAGCCAATTGGTATGTCACGTGTTGGTTGGTCAGCTGTCAGGTATGACTCGCCGGCTGGGCGTAAGCCCGTATCGTGTTCTATAGTAAACCTAGAGAAAGGAAATATAGATAAAATAGACTTGTGGTAGGTTAAAATGAATTGGGAAAGTCACAAAAAGTTAGACGAAATCAAGTGTGTTTTTTGCACTTGCGACTCTAAGTAGGAATCGAAGCAATAACACCAATATTCATCTAGGCTACTTATTCGTTTTTGTTAAATAATACTCAAACACAAACACTGCTATGGTTTTGTAGTCACAATACTGAGGCGACTGCCTCGTTGGCCTAGTGGTCGTGATCGTAACTGCTGATAATTAGGTCCCAGGTTCGAATTCCTGGTCGAACCAAAAGAGTTAGTTATTAAGATTTTCTGTCAAGAAATTCAATATTTATTGTGTAGTCTCTGATAAGGCATATTTTCAACAATTAATTAGAAAAAGTCGTTAAAATCGTGTCGGTAAAATTTTCTATCAAGTGTATCACTTACTCGTTATATGTATTCACGTTAAATGGTTTTTATCACTATGGTCGCTACAGGCACGTTATTTTAGTAATAAAATAAAAAAGGAATATTACCAAAATGAATAAATTGAACCCTGATAAATCCAAATTCATTTTAAAAGACACCACCCATAAATATAAACACCAACATAGAATAGATGGCCCAAACATTACCGCTGCTATAAAGAACTTTTGTATTGTAAACCACAATGGTATTGAAGCTTTTCGAATCACGGCGCAATCCGAATGTACACTTAATTTTGACGACGGAGAAACGAGTCTTTGTATTCCGATACATAAATAACGAAAGAAGACAGACCAATTAGAGGCCGTAAGCACTGCGGTAAGCGCGCCCTGTAATATTTCATACCTGTCCATTTATTTTTCATGCGCCGGGCGGGGAGTAATTTTAAGGCAACATTTTATTTACGTTACAAATGAACGTGTGCCGGGAAACGGATGATTTTATATTTCCTTTCATATTTCAGTACACACCAGAGGCTTCCCGTGGGAGAAGACTATTTATTTTTGTGACAGCCTTCCGTAGTCCGGGCGAAGTGAACAATATTCATAATTCAAAAGCCTTCATGCCATATTTTTTTAACTATGTTTAACGTCGACAAAAGATTGAATAAAACTATTTATACGGATTTTATCGCGTTTGATTAACTTATAGTTAATTCCCGACGTTTTGGGTGGGCCCCCGTGACCATGGGTACTGTAAAGCATGCTGTAAAGCTTGGGGGACCAAGGGGACTGAGATGTTTGACGTCCCAACATCATAGTTAGCCCGGCTACCATCAGTTTTTTTTAAATGAATTTTTGGTCAGATCTACGCAGAGCGAGCTTACAGTATCTTGAAGTCTTGCAGTGGTTTGCTTGGGTTTGTATTTAATTCTGTTAATTATGATCCCAAGCAGATCGCAACACCCATCCATCTTTTCTATTGAAATTAGGATGTTTTTTAATTTCAATAGCCTCGCTGTAAAGCACCAGAAATGCCGGGAATTAAAAATAAGTTAATAATTAGTAATTAAACGCGATAAAATCCGTATAAATAGTTTTATTCAATGTGTAGTGTTCGCGTAAATTTAAGAAATAATTGGGTCACAGCTATATTAAAGATATAGTTTTAAGTAAAGAGCATATTTAATGTCATCTATTGATATAATATCTTTACAAAAATGCATAAATTTTTAATTGTACTATGAACTATCCTCTGCACATGTTTCAAATTCAGACCAAACAGAGGTGTAGAAAACTAAATGACTATTGGCTCAGCAATAGGACAAATTATTCACATGTGAGGGGCATCTACGGTTTCTACAGCGCCAAGATTTGAACGCATAAATCTCGACGAGATATGTCGAAAATTAAGAATAATATGTTACGATATCTCGCTTACTGTCCAAGAAATCGCCACTATATCCGAATGAGCACGCCCGGACTCCACGTAATCTTGTCTGCCTTACCCTTAAAGTGTTTTTGTAAAGCCGTAAGCGCGGAGGGATAGCAGTCCCCGCAAATAGCAGACACCTGTGCGAGCTGTAGCGGCTGAGGCTGGTCACCAAAGGCGAACAATAAGTCAAAGCTGCGGAGGTGAACATGGGTGCCTGCATGTTGATTTCTTATCATCATCATCATCATTCATCATTACAGCCCTTCACAAGTCCACTGCTGAACATAGGCCTCCCCCAAGTAATGCCACAAAGCACGGTCCTGAGCCACCTGCATCCATCGACTTCCTGCATGTCTTACCAGGTCATCACTCCATCTAGTGGGGGGTCGCCCTACACTACGCCTACCGGTACGAGGCTGCCACTCGAGAACCTTTCTTCCCCATCGGTTATCGGTTCTTCGAGCTATATGGCCGGCCCATTGCCACTTCAGCTTACTAATCCGTTGGGCTATGTCGGTCACTCTGGTTTTACTGCGGATATCCTCATTTCTGAGTCTATCACGCAGAGAAACTCCGAGCATAGCCCTCTCCATAGCTCGCTGAGCGACCTTAAGCGTCCTCATACGGCCAGCAGTGAAGGACCACGTCTCAGATCCGTAAGTCATCACTGGCAACACGCACTGGTTGTACAATCTAGTTTTTAGAGATTGAGGTATACCTGACGAAAAGATATGCCGTAATTTCCCGAACGCTGCCCAGCCGAGTTGAATCCGTCGATTGACCTCTCGGTCGAAGTTGGACTTACCTAGTCGGACTATTTGTCCCAGGTAAACGTATTCGTCAACAACTTCGAGCATAGTGCTCCCAACAACTACCGGCATAGGTGTGACATGGACATTGAACATGATCTTTGTTTTGTCCATGTTCATCTTAAGACCTATCCGTTGGGAGGCACTATTGAGGTCATTGAGCATAGTGCTTAAGTCCTCCAGCGATTCTGCCATAAGGACTATATCGTCGGCAAATCGAAGGTGAGTGATGTACTCGCCATTGATGTCAATACCGTATCCTTTCCAGTCCAGTAGCTTGAAAACGTCTTCCAATGCAGCGGTGAAGAGTTTCGGGGATATAACGTCACCCTGTCTTACACCTCTCTGCAGTTGGATAGGTTTCGAGCTCTGATTCTGTACTCGGATAGCCATCGTAGCCCTACTGTACAAACACTTCAGCACTTCGATATACCGACAGTCAACTTGGCACCGCTGAAGGGACTGTAGCACCGCCCAAATTTCGACGGAATCAAAGGCTTTCTCATAGTCCACATACGCCAGGCAAAGTGGCAGATTGTACTCTTCAGTCTTCTGTACAATCTGCCGCAGGGTATGTATGTGGTCTATGGTACTGAAGCCTTTTCGGAAACCGGCTTGTTCGGGAGGCTGGAAGTCGTCAAGTCTGCGTGCGAGACGATTCGTAATGACTCTCGAAAACAGCACGTAGACGCGGCTCAGAAGGGAAATCGGTCTGTAGTTCTTTAAGAGAGCGTTGTCGCCTTTCTTAAAGAACAAGACCACCGCACTTCTGCTCCACGCCTCTGGAGTAGTGCCACCATGGAGGACGGAATTGAAGAGCTTCTGAAGGACTTCAAGTACCGGTGTTCCACCCGCTTTCAGAAGCTCCGCTGTAATTCCATCCTCGCCTGGGGCCCTGCCGTTTTTAAGGTGCTGGAGAGCCATTCTAATCTCGCTTAGACTGACGTCCGGGATATCATCGGAATAGTGTCGGATAAGACTTGCTCTTGGATCGTTACTCACACTTGCGTGTGGCTCCAACGATGATGTGTACAGCTGCCCATAGAACCTCTCAATCTCACTCAAAATCTCAGGTGTCCCGGAAACGATGTTGCCACACTCAGTCTTCAGCTTTGACAGTTGGCTCTTTCTGGCAGACAGATCTCTGGCAAAGACTTTGGAGCCCTGGTTCCGCTCGATAGCTTCTTTAATACGAGATGATGATTTCTTATATTGACGCGAAATTAAATTTACTGAAAATGGGTGCTGTAATGTGCTT